AAGCTAAAATCAACTAAACAAGCTAAAATCAACTAAACAAGCTAAAAGCTAAATTTTGTAAAAAGCAAGGCAAAAATGTATAAATGTGATGTACTGCAGGAACACTAAACATACTGCAGTAATAGTAATTGTACTGCAGTAATAGGGAATGTACTGCATTAACAGAGAACATACTGCAGTAACAGTCAAAGTACTGCTGTAATGGTGAAAATATTGTAGTAATAGTGATCGTACTGCAATAATAGTGAAGGTACTGCATTAAAAGGAATTAAACTGCAGTAATAGTGAATGTAGTTGGATTACAGGTACTCTGGACGTCCAGAGGACCTGACTTAATTTTTTTGGATTTTTTACCTCGACTATTGAGCATGAACTTTGATACAGCAGTAATACTTAATATACTGCAGTATTACTGATTGTACATTTGTATTACTGGTTTTACTCTAGTATTAATAGTTGTACTGCTGTAATACTGGCTGTACTCTAGTATTGCTGATTGTGATATAGTACTACTGATTGTACAGCAGTAATACTGGTTGTACGGTAGTATTACTGGTTGTACGGTAGTATTACTGGTTGTACTGCAGCAACAGTGAACATACTGCAGTAATAGCGAACATACTGCAGTAATAGTGAAGGTACTGCTGTAATAGTGTACGTACTACAATAATAATGAACGTACTGTCGTATTATTGACTGTACTGCAGTAATAGTGATCATACAACAGTACTGGTGAAGATGCTGCAGTAATAATAAATATACTGCAATAATAGTAAACATACTGCAATAATAGTAAACATACTGCAATAATAGTAAACATACTACAGTAATAGTGATTGTAGTGCAGTACTCCAATAGTGAACATACTGCAGAAATAGTGAAAGTACTGCAATAATAGTGAACGTAATGCAGAAAGTCAACATACTGCAGTAAAAGTGAAGGTACTGCTGTAATAGTGTACATACTACAATACTAGTGAACATACTACAGTAATAGTGATTGTAATGCAGTAATAGAGACTGTTCTGCAGTAATAGTGAATGTACTGTTGCAATAGTGTACATGCTGCAGTAATACTTGTTGTGTAGAAATAATAGTGATAGTTATGTAGCATTATTGCTTATACTGTAGTATTCCTGATTGCACTGCAGTAATACAGGATGTACTGCAGTAATACAGGATGTACTGCAGTAATAGTGAAGGTACTGCGTTAAAATGGACTGTACCAGTAAAAGTGATTGTACAGGAGTAATAGTGAATGATATGCAGTATTACTGGTTGTATTGCAGTATTACATGTTTTACTGCAGTATTACTGGGTATACTGCAGTACTACTGATGCTGGAGGAGCAGAGTGTCCTCTCCCCCCCTCGACCCCCACCGCCTCTCTTAAGAGAAAGATGCTGCCGGTTGAGCTGATGGAGCACTTTATAGCGATCAGCCCTGGAGCTGAGTCAGCAGAGGAGGGAGAGGGAAGGTGAAAGAGAGGAGAAGATGAAAGAGGGAGGAGGGAGAAGGGGGTGATGGAGAGGAGGAGAAGGAAAAGGAGAACAGAGGATGATGAAGTGAAAGAAAGCAGTAGAACAGACAGGAAACAGCACGCTCTCAGTCTGATCACAGTTTGAATGAAACCACAGGTGAAAACGTGAAGTCGGACAAACATCTGCTTCCTGTTTCACACCTGGACCAGGTCCACATCTGCTTCCTGGGACAGGTTTTTGGATTTTCATAGGCTCAGAACCAAGTCGCTGTAGGAAAACAAACATCAGATCGCTGGAAGAATGGAGACCAACCGGTCCGAGCACGAGTGTTTCCCAAGTCCGTCTGATTCACAACAGAACTGTGGACCCGAGTCCATTCTTCTAATTAAAGCTCGGAGACGACCCGTCTTTACGTGGTCCAGAAATTAAATCAGACCGAGGACAAATGGGTCTCTGTTTCACTAACAGAACAAAACCCAAAGAGTTCTGCTCACACGGATCTACTCTGACCTCTGAACTCGTTCCTCTTCATCCTGCCGTGCTCTACATACTTATTTACAGTCGTTTGTCCTCCGCTCCAACACCTTGACAGCACCGCTCAGCTGGTCCTGAGAGCCATAAACCCAAGAGGGATGAGAGGCGAGTCCAGAGATTAAAAGAGAGGCCGAGCAGAGATCAATTTGGAAGATGAACAGAGATGGAGGGAGCAGCGAGGGAGGCGGTGAAGAATGGGGGAAAAAGAAAACCTTAATGGTCCAATTAGTCTGCACAGCTTTGATTAACATTTCTAAAGAGACAGAAACTCTGAGGCCACCGAGCTACTTAAAGCAGAAAACCTGCTGACAAATATTCAATAACTACAGAGTTGTTTTGTGTTTTACTACTGAGGTCAGACCTGGACACGTGGGTCTGACTGCAGACCCCGTCCACACCTTTAGGACAAAGTGTTCCGTCTGAAACTCCTGATGAACATCTTGTTCAACTAAAGGAGTTAAGACCTCAAATCTCTCATTTTGGTAGACCCTCAGACCATCAAGTAGACCCTCAGAGCATCAAGTAAACCCTGAGACCATCATAGACCCTCAGACCACCATAGACCCTCAGACCACCATAGACCCTCAGACCACCATAGACCCTCAGACCATCATAGACCCTCAGACCATGAAGTAGACCCTCAAACCACCATAGACCCTCAGACCATCAAGTAGACCCTCAGACCACCATAGACCCTCAGACCATCATAGACCCTCAGACCATGAAGTAGACCCTCAGACCACCATAGACCCTCAGACCATCAAGTAGACCCTCAGACCATCATAGACCCTCAGACCATCAAGTAGACCTTCAAACCCATAAAGTAGACCCTCAGACCATCAAGTAAACCCTGAGACCACCATAGACCCTCAAACCACCATAGACCCTCAAACCACCATAGACCCTCAGACCACCATAGACCCTCAGACCATCATAGACCCTCAGACCATCAAGTAAACCCTCAGACCATCAAGTAAACCCTCAGACCATCAAGTAGACCCTCAAACCACCATAGACCCTCAGACCATCAAGTAGCCCCTCAGACCATCAAGTAGACCCTCAGACCATCAAGTAGACCCTCAGACCATCATAGACCCTCAGACCATCATAGACCCTCAGACCATCAAGTAGACCCTCAGA